TCAGGCTTTTGAGCGCGTAACCTGGAGTCTGCCCGCTCGGCGGGAATGGAGATTATTGGTTATTACCCTGTTTGAATGTCTTACATTATTCCTTGCCCACCCTGGCCCAGGCATTCTGGACAGTGAACTTGTTCCTGCTCTATCATAGCTTTAATAAAATACTACTTTGCCTAAACATGTATTGGATTAATAGCTGTGGGGGACCGGACAGCTGGGGATTATTAGGGAGGGAATTGAAAACAAATCAGCCAGTATCATAATGCGTCATGCGTATTATGCGTCATTTCAAGTACTGTGTACAGTTCTGGTCACAACACCTCAAAAAGGATATTATAGCATTGAAAAAAGTGCAGAAAAGGGCAACTAGAATGATAAAAAGGTTGGAACACTTTCCCTATGAAGAAAGGTTAAAGCGCTTGGGGCTCTTTAGCTTGGAGAAACGACGGCTGAGGGGTGACATGATCGAGGTTTATAAGATTATGCATGGGATAGAGCAGGTCAAGAAAGAAGTACTTTTCTCCATTTTCTCACAATACAAGAACTCGTGGGTGCTGGTTTTGACCTTTAAAGCCCTTAATGGTCTGGGGCCTGTCTATCTGAGGGACCGCCTTTCCCCGTATGTTCCCCCGAGGGCACTGAGATCCGAGACATAAAATCGCTTGCTCCCCCCTGGCCCTAGGGATGCTAAGTTAACAGCAACAAGAACCAGGGTTTTCTCCCTAGCTGCACCAACGCTATGGAACCAGCTCCCAAATGAAATTCGAGCTCTGCGGGATCAACAATTCCGTAGAGCAGTGAAGACCGAGCTGTTCCAACAAGCGTTCTAACAGTCCTGGCCACACTGACCGTCCCACATATGCACTAGCACTTTATAACAGATGCCGCCACATTCTAATTTTAATGTTGTATTTATTGTACTGCTTTGTATTGTTTTAGATGTGACAATCGGTATTAATTGTATACTGGTTTTAACCATTGTAAGCCGCCCTGAGCTGCCTTGGCGGGAGGGCGGGGTAAAAGTCTAAAATAAATAAATAAATAAATAAATTGCTGAGCAGTTGGGTTAGGTCAGATAAAAGGAAGTACTTTTTCACCCAAAGAGTGATTAACACATGGAATTCACTGCCACAGGAGGTGGCGGTGGCTACAAGCATGGACAGCTTCAAGAGGGAATTGGATAAACATATGGAGCAGAGGTCCATCAGTAGCTATTAGCCACAAGATATAGATAGGAACTCACAGGCTGGGGAAGGTGATGCCCTGTGTTGTTGGTGCTTAGGGGAGGCAACAGTGGGAGAGTTTCTAGTGTCCTGGCCCCACTGCTGGACCTCCTGATGGCACCTGGTATTTTTGGCCACTGTGTGACAGAGTGTTGGACTGGATGGGCCATTGGCCTGATCCAACATTGGCTTCTCTTATGTTCTTATCTCTTGTCACCTCAATTTGACTCAGTTTTTCAGACTCTCTGCCTGAAGATAGCGGGGTGGCATGGGTACATGCCCCACACTTTCCACATCGAACAGAGATACAAAAAATTCATTAAGTTCTCTGCCATATTCCCATTTTTCTTTAGCAATTCTTTTATTCCTTGGTCATCCAAAGGCCCAGTCAAGATGGTGGTAGTTGATGTCTCCCAGTATAATAACATTATCTGTTTTAGTCACCATCCTTATTTCCTTCTCCATCTTGAGATCAGCCTCAAGGGCGTGATCAGGTGGGTGATAGTACAGCCTCACTTTCAAGTAAGCCTTAGGGCCCCTTCATCCATACCTATGAAGGCTTCTTCCACACCATTCCAAACCTCATTTCCATCCACCCACTCTTGTAGCCCCAACCAGACTTACCTTGACAGCTGTGTCTGTCAGCAGAAAGCTGCATCCCTGGGCCACATTCACACACAAACCCTCCTTCAGTGTTCACACACAGGCCTTCACAGGAGGCACTGAGGCACTCATCAATGTCTGCATAAAAGAAGGTTCCATTTGTCACTGAATTTAAAGAAGGGAAGCAATAGACACACACTGTCTCAAAAAAAGAGAGAGGGGGTACTAAATGGGCCCGGTGGCTGAAATATAAAAACGCAGCTTAGCACAGGCAGCACCATGTTTAATTGCTCTGCAACTTGCAAGTGGGCCTCTGCTGGCAAAAGCAGGAGTACAAGTTTGTGCTGACCGCTGAGATAAGCTTATCTAGGGGAATCAGGTAAGACCACCTGGGTAAACAACACCAGGAGACTGTAACAGACACCAAGGATGCTGGTTTGTGCAGGGAGGGACCTTGGAATGTGTAAGGGTCATGCAGTGGAAATTTACTCAGAAGTCTTTTAAGTTTCAGTTCAGGCTACAGCTTTTGCGCATGTTGAATGCTATGTAACTTAAGGGTATAACTGAAGGGAACACCCTTGAAAGGGTGTGATTTTTCTTTGTAGACCTGTTTCTGTGATCACCAGTTGCCTGGCAAATAGATCTTTAAGCCTGTTACCCAGTTGTCTTTCTGTTTGGGCCTCAGCTAGACAACACACCTGGTGAATTCCACCATGTGGTTCGAGGAGAAGAGGTAGGTCTAGTACAGATAAGTTTGCCATCCCCCCCCCGGGGGGGGGGTTGCCTGTTTTTAGGGCCCCTGATCTGCTGGCCCAGATTTGGCCGGCGGGGGGAACCCCACCCGCAAAGTGCCATGTTTGGGCCAATGTGCCCAGCACTATGACATAGGGTTGCCAGCCTCCAGGTGGGGCCTGGAGAACTCCCACTTTTACAACTAATCTTCAGCTGACAGAGATCAGCTCCCCTGGAAAAAATGGCTTCTTTGAAGGGTGGACTCTGTGGCATTTTATCATGCTGAGGCCTCTCCCCTCCCCTCCCCTCCCCTCCCCAAACCCCACCCTCTCCTGGATTCACCCCCAAAGACTCCAGGTATTTTCCAACCCAGACCTGGCAAGCCTACGATGACATCACTCGGAGGTGACGTCATTGCACAGGGAACGTTGTGGGAGGACACTCTACCATTCGAGGAAAAACTCTGTTTCCCCCTCGAATGATAAGAGGCCCCACCCACAACATGCCCTGCGCGATGATGTCACTTCTGGGTGATGTCATCGCGGTGCCACAGATCTCCCAGACCAGGAGAAAGACACACACACACCCCATTGGCAGCCAGGTAAGACCTGGCAACCCTAAGCACAGGGTGCGTGTGGGTGCCATGGAACCCGCTGACACCTTTTCTGGCGCTCTCCAAGTGTTTTTAGGAAGTGAGTAGGGCCAGGTAGGGCTTTTGCCCAGCAATCCTTCTGATTGACAATTGGAGATTTGTTGAACATGTTGCTTTGGCAGGAACTGCCATCATAGCACAAGAAACTGCATTGTGTTACTGAAGTTCAGGGGTGGTGATCATTTTGTGGCTGGCTCCCCTTTCTGTGACATCCATTTTGCAGCAGCCATTTTGTTGCTGTGCTCCTCATGCTGTTTCAGAATTCCTGGTGTGCCCACAGACTCAGAAAGATGGGGGAATTCCCTGGTCTAGTAGGACAGTTGCTAACTTCTAGGTGGGGCCTGAAGATCTCCCAAATTACTACTAATCTCCAGATGACTGAGATCAGTTCTCCTGGAGAAAATGGCTGTTTTGGAGGGTGGCTTCTATAGCATTATACTCAACTGAGGTCCCTCCCACAGGCACAATGCCAAAATCTTCATGAATTTCCCAACCCTGAGTTGGTAATCTGACAACCAGCAATACCTGCAAAAGATTCCCCCACACACACACTTACACCATTGGCAAAAACTAAACCAGTTCCTTCAAGATTTCATCTCACAGTTTGCCAAGCAGATCGGGGAATTATCTTCCCATGAAAGTAGATTAGACACACACACACAAACATACACACATCCCTGCTTATTGAGATCTGCAGTTGGTATTGGAAAGATCCCTGATGTGTGTGTTACAAACCATGAGTAATTTGCTGTGGAGTGACATGCATGCCTGGAAAAAATTCAGATTAGCCTTTGTGTGGCAGACATGTTATATGCCCCAGCTGTTCAGAAACAACTCCAAGAAGGGCACTATATTCAACTGCAGTGGAGGAGGATCTGCAATTTAAGATGTTCAGACGGAAGCATTCTGATAAGAGCCACCACCTGCGATTATGCCCAGCTGTGGTTGTTTCTGGCTCTGCAGTGTCACTTAGGACAGAAACCCTTCTTCAGGCTCACCTGCACACCGAACACCATTGACAGTCTCTGTCATGGAGAATCCCAGTGGGCACACCCGTGCCACCTCCTGGCAGCCGCCATGGTTACAAGCAAGATCACAGCCATATTCTCCACAGGCACTAGGGGGATCTGAAGATATGAATGAGAACAAGTTCATTTTGCTTTTCACGCATCAAGGTAGGGAGGAGACCTGCTTTCTGCTATGTTAATTTAAGAGGTCTGGGAAAGCAAGATGGTGCTGTTACTATATAAAGAAGGGACAGGCCAGCGGGTAAGAATAGTTAGCATTTACCACTATAGTAAAACAGGGTAACTTGATGATATAATCTATTACTGCTGTGGTGAACAGCCACTGTTCCCGACATTATATATAACTGAAAAGTCACAGTATTTCTTTTTGTCCACAGTGTTTACATCTCTCCCCTTTTGCTAAGGTATCTCTGCCTGCTGAGGGCTCCCTTCATGCATCTAATGATTTATTTAAATCTATGAAAGCAGATGCGATTGGGCCCTCCCAGAAGTTTTGAGAGGGCCAGGCCAGTTCCAGATTTTGAGGTCCCTGGCCAAGGAATACTAAACAATCAGGACATCTGATATCCATAAAAGCCAGCTGCGAAATTTATCAAATGCCAAAAAATTAAAAAGTGTCTAACTCTGAGGCCCCCTTTGAGCTTGAGGCCCACGCCAAAAGTCCCTCATGGTTTCTCCTCTGATTGTCTCTGGATACGATAACTAATTTTTTCACCTTTAAGATGCCACAAGGGACTTTTTTTGTTTTACTGTCACAGATTAAAATGGCTACCCCTCGGGAATACTTCAGCAAGAGACAGATGACTGTGAGAAAAGGGACTGAGAAAGAGACCCTGTCAGGGTGCGTTCAGATGTGCCGTTTGATCTGGTGTCGTGACAGTTCAACAACGGATTTTATATGCACGATCACACAGTCAACATCTGCCTCCTGTCCCCAGCCGTTGGATTCCGTCTCAAAACCACTTTAACCCGGAGTATTTTGTTACCAGGTCCCAAAGTGGTGTTTTCTCAGCTCTCCCGTTTAAAGCCACATTTTCCCCCTGTGCGATCGCTCCTCCGGTGTCAAGCCACTTCCGGTTTAAACCCCCTCCCTGCTCAAAAGCTGCCCGAGGCTTCTGCTTTTCGCCCATCAGCGGTGCGCACATAGGCAGAGCTCCGCTACCGTGTTCAGAAAACTGGCATTTAAACGGTCACTTGTTTTAGAGTTTAGATGACTTCGGGATCTCACGGAGGCCATTTTCAAGTCAAATGTTTAAAGGGAAGTCTTTTGTTGGAGGGGTTGGATTGATTCGCCCTGGTGGTTCTGCGCATGCGCCATGGTAGTTCCCCCCCATTCTATGGATGAGCGCCTATGCGCATACGCAAACTGAGAAAAAAATTAAAAAACCCACCGACACACGCTCCTGCACGTCGGTAGTGTAGATGCCAGGGAGCGACGTGACTGCACGGTGAGGCAGGTTAAGGGAGGTAAGTGTGATCGCGATTACCCAGATCAAATATAATCCGGTTACAACCAGAGCAGTTTAACCCGCTCTCAGCACACCGTCTGACCGCACCCTCAGAGTTCCAAAGGCCAGATGGATGTGGAGGAATTGCCAAGCACCCAAGGGTTTCAGGATGTAGTATGAGGAAGTAAAGAGTGTTTTACTGTATTTTAAGAGTATTGTTGTTAAGGGGTTTTTTTAAGGGTAACAAAAATAGAATTTTTTTTACACATAGACAGTCTCCCTTATAAATAAAAGCTGAATGGCGGTGGCACTTCTCCAGAAGATTCCACACGCTCCGGAATTGGTTGGCGCCCTGGTGTGTCACTCAGAATCTGTCCCTATCCACTGGCTGCTTTGCCTGAGTCCTGCCTCCAACATTCTAAACATTTTGCTGTTCCTCTCCCCCCATAGCCAGTCAGAACACAGAAGTTATTTGCATATGCAGCCTCATTGGCCGTTGCCTCGGAAAACAGGTCGTTTGCATATGCGACTTGATTGCCTTTTGCCTCTAACATTCTAAACAGTTTGCTGTTCTGAGGTAAAATGTGTCCAATCTCCAGGTGAGGGCTGAAGATCACTCAGAATTACAACTGCTTTCCAGATGGCAGAGATCAGTTCCCCTGGAGAAAATGGTGAACTCTGTATCCTTATATGCTGCTGAGGTGGCCCCCATATGACAGCCAGTGTGACGTAGCAGTCAGGGCTTCAGAGCACGGGAGAGGCTGCAGGTGAGTGGGGGGTGGAAAGCTGAAGAGTGAGGGGGAAAGGAAGGTTGATGATTGGCTGGGAAGGAGATAGGGTTGTCAGCTCCAGGTGGGGAATTCCTGGAGATGTGAGGGATGGAGCCTGGAGAGAGTGAGGTTTCAGGAGATCATTCAAAATTACAACTGTTCTTTAGGTAGCAGAGATCAGTTCCTCTGGAGAAAATGGTGACTCAGTGTCATTATACCCTGCTGAGGTCGCCACAGCAAACTGACACTGAGTGTCCAAGGCCAGGGCACCCATCCACAGCCTCTTTCTAGAGATCGTTGTATTTATTTCCACAACGGGCCTTTTTCCTAGTATTAATATAAATTACAAACCTCGTTTCCTTAGAAGGCATCAACTTTTTTCCACATCTGTCTCATTTGAAAGATGTTAATTTAGCCATCACAATGAAATCTTAGAAGCATTTAAATTTTGTTGGTTGGGAGAGAGATGTATTTTGGTCATTTACCAGGATGGAGTACCACAAGGTTTCAGGCTGGCCATGGAGAGGAGAAGCATAGCTACTACTGAAATGGTTCCTTATGCTGGCCATTAGTCAGTTACCCCATGCATAGACAGGAAGCAAGCCAGCACTTTTGTCCAGCTACACACAGAAAAAAACAGCTTTAGGCAATTTTCAGCCAATGAGTAATAATAACGCCCTATTTACAATTTTGCCTCCCACTGGCATGAAAACTCTAAATATCTTCCAAAATAGATGTACAGAAGGAATAAACTGAAGCTAGAACCCAAGACGGTTGAATAATATTATCTCTTTCTTGATGAAACCCTGCTCTAGGTTACAGGTACATCGCGTTACATGATGTGAATTTTGGCTCTAGGGTTTCCAGAGATTCCAAACTAGCCAGACTTCTATATGCAAATAGCTGTGCAGAAAACAGAATGTCATATGTGGTGCAAAAGAAGTAATAAGTACCTCTCCTTTCCCCCCAAAATATATTCTTCTAGAACGATCATTGGAGAATTTTTGCCAGTACAGTGTTTCTGATTTATTTTACAAAATTAATGCCACTTCTCTAGGAAGCGTGCCCGAGGCAGCTTACAAAAATAAAATACACATTAAAAGGTATTAATTAAAATCCAGCATTAAAACCCCTGTCCAGCATAAAAACAGACCACTAACAGATTAAAATAACAGTTTGCACACTAAAATAGAATTGATAGTTCAACCCTTTAATTAAAAGGTAAGAACCAATTATATCGATGACATACATTCTTCACAATTCTTCCTTTGTTGTCATTCAAGATACAGCAGCCCCACACTCTAAGGAACAGCACAAACACATCAGACTGTTGGTATTCTAAGCACCAGGTTTTTCATGCCTCTTCAAATCCCAAAATGGGAGACCTGGCACTGCATTCATTAGTCAGTCTCTCATATCCCAATTCTTAGGGTAATAAATCGGCAGCATTCTCCCGCAGGGATCCATTCTACAAAGTACTCCTTACCTTGACATGTAATGCCCTGTCCTCCGTCTCTGCAGGAACAGACATTGGGAGCAATGCACAAACCACTGCCACAGCCAAAGGAACAAAGTGCTGGGAAAGAAACCAAGAAACCATTAATCAGAATACGTTTTGACCAGTTTCTACTGTTAAATAGTGGGTTTAACACGGCAGAGGCGAAGGCAGAATGATTTCAGCAAGCAGCAGTTTATTGCATCACAACAGGAATGCTTTACATGGGGCAACTGCCCAACTATATACACCTAAGCCACTCCCAGCCCCCATGCAATTGGTGAGTTCAAATGGCCTCCAGGCTCCAGATTGGCTGGCTGCCCTTGGGGGCCAATCTGCAGGCAAGTTCCAGGATCCTGCCTGCCTTTGTCCTGGGGCTCCAAGCTTGAACTTGGTGGCCTGCCCAGACAAGCCCAGGCATGCCTCCCCACTCTCCATCTAGGTGGCCTGCCAAACAAGTCCAGGCATGCTTCCTTACGTCCAGACATAACACCCCTCCCCCCTAAGTCCGGTCCTTGTTCAGCAAACATAGTCCTCTAGGTAGCAGGGCCTCACACATTCTCTCTGGGAGCAGTGGGGCTCTGCACCGGGGTAGTCGCCGGTGGTGCAGGCTGTATGACGGCTGGTGAGCTGATGCTGGGTGGCTCAGGAGGGGGGTTGCAGGTCCAGGCTGTGACAGGTCTGGGGAGACCGCTGCTCTGGGATGGGCCAGGTCCGGGCGCTGATCACCCAAGGTTGGGAGTGGCGCAGCTGTAGTTGAGTCTGCAAGGCAGCGGCACAGCTGGTCCACATGGTGGCAGAGAATCTGGCCATTTAGGGTAGTTACCTCATAGGAGATGGGGCCAGTGGTTAAGCAATTGTCGCAGGGATCCATGCAGGGCTGTCCGCATAGTTCCTGATGTGGACAGGATCATCAGGACCAAATCCACAGGCCGCACCTTGTGTCTCATGGGTTGGTGGCCGGTCAGAGGCCCAGGTAGCAGCCACTGCCAAGGCAGCCTTTTACCATCTGCGGCTGATTAGGCAGTTGGTCCCCTTCCTCGAACGCAACGATCTGGCATCAGTGATCCATGCTATGGTCACCTCGAGGCTGGATTACTGCAATGCTCTCTACATGGGGCTGCCCTTGGGGCAACTCCGGAAGCTGCAGCTGGTGCGGAATGCCAGGTTGTTGATGGGTCTCCCCGTGAGGGAGCACATCCAACCTGTGCTGAGGTCGCTGCACTGGCTGCCAATAGCGTTCCGGATACGCTTCAAGGTGCTGGTTATGACCTTTAAAGCCTAAATGGTCTGGGGCCTGTCTACCTGAGGGACCGCCTTTCCCCATACGTTCCCCCAAGGGCACTGAGATCCGAGTCGCAGAATCGCTTGGTCCCCCCTGGCCCTAGGGACGCTAAGTTAACATCGACAAGAACCAGGGCATTTTCCCTAGCTGCACCAGTAGCAGTTTATTGCATCTCAACAGGAATGCTTTACATTGGGCAACTGCCCAACTATATACACCTAAGCCACTCCCAGCCCCCATGCAATTGGTGAGTTCAAATAGCCTCCAGGCTCCAGATTGGCTGGCTGCCCTTGGGGGCCAATCTGCAGGCAAGTTCCAGGATCCTGCCTGCCTTTGTTCTGGGGCTTCAAGCTCGAACTAGGTGGCCTGCCCAGACAAGTCCAGGCATGCCTCCTTATGTCCAGACATAACACCTACTCAGCAGAAGGAAACCACTCTGTAAGGAAGAGACCGGCTTCTGTGTAAAACAGCAACACTGAAGAACTGAATCAGGGCAGGAGGGGGAGGATCGACCTTGCAAGTCACTGCTGGAACTGCCCGGTTCTTAGCTTTGCAAGAGCTGCACACCTGAGATATCTCAATTAACAGCTGGACTGGTTAGAGGGAGGGGTAGCATCTTAACAGGTCCTTCCGAGGATAAAAGCCAAAGGGGGGGGGAAGCATTCGTCTATTGGGCAGGATTTTTCCTACCTTTTGGACTTTGAGTAAGTTTCAGCTGATTTTAATGACTATTTGTATTTTGGCAACCATTGAAGGACATTGAAATGTCCTGTGGTCATCTAATTATTAGTTAATCCAGGTTGCCTTGCCTTTTCTTTGATAATAAAAGTACTTTTGCCTGATTTACTGAACTAGAGTATAGAGCCTAAGCCGAGTATCCTGACAGAGAACCCAAAGCCTTCATCATACACACTCTTATCCCAAGGATATAGGAGCCCAGGTAAGAGACAGTATTCATTGCAGAGAAAGATGAATAATTGGAAGGCCTTTAGAGAGTAGAGGAGAATACATGAGACTGTTTTTGTAAAACCAAAAAACAAACCTATAACTTTGTAATAGAAAACTAGGCTATCTAGTCCCTTTGCAGATGGGCATTAGTTTATGGCACCAAGATACAAGAGTCTTTAAGTTGCCACTAGTTCCTTTACAGAGCTACAGTTCCCTGGGTTTCAGGAATGAAACCATAATAGTTAAAGAAAGAAATAGTTTAAAATGTTGTGAACGTATGCTTATGGGTTCATCATTCATGCAGGGTACACAGTGGGGTTTTTTTATTTTGAAAAGTACTGAGTTCGGACACGTGGCATAGTGATCAGCTTATAGTTTATTAACTCACTGGAAAATAGAAGACAAACTAGCTGGTCTGCGACCGGCTTTTATCCGTGTACACACACACTCAAAACACACACTCCCCGTGATAGGCTCTATTTACACTACCTAGTCCCCACAGGTACATACCAGGATCTGCGTGAGCTCATTGGTCTGCGTTAGGATCCTACCAGTCTATTGTTCCTAGAGCAGAAGGTCTGTTTGACCGCATGGCCAGGTTAACGCGGCAAGGCTATCTTAATACATAACACCCCTCCCCCCACAGTTCCAAAGTCCTAACAAACATAGTCTTTGAGATATTCTGGACGTCTCCGCTTGTGAGTTGAGCGGTGCAGCTCCGTCGGGGGACCGCAGGAGCCTCTGTTTCGGTCAGCCGATCTCTTGGGTGGATTGGGGGCGGTTGTTGGTGTTGTCCCAGCAGTTGGAGAAGGTTCGGCAGTATCAGCTGGAACCGAGGCAGGAACGGGAGCCGGAACTGTGTTGAGCATCGCTGGCTCGTGTGTGCGCTCTTCTGGTTCTGGCTCTTCTTTGCCTTTGCTGTCCTCAGCCTCTCAGGTCTTAGAGTTTCCCAAGGGAAGAAGGTGTCAGCACAACTGGTCCACGTGCCTCCACAGGATCTGACCATCATCTGTCAAGACTTTATAGGAGAGGGGTCCCGTTGCCCTCACGACTCTGGCTGGGATCCACTGCAGTCCTCGCGCAAAGTTTTTTGCATAGACAGGGTCTTCTGGGAAGAACCCGCGGGGTGTATCTTGGGCTTCGGTGCCCGGTGGGTGGTCCGGAGGCCAGTCCGGGTTTAAGTGATCCAGCTGGGTCGTGAGGTGCCTGCCCATAAGGAGTTTTGCTGGGCTGCGGCTGGTGGAGGCGTGGGGGGGTCATCCGTTGCCCAAACAGGAAAAGGAGAAAAGATGGCGCCCGGGTGTGAAGCTCTGGTGCTGAGCTCCCCCGCGATACTCTAAGCTATTATTAGAATTTTACTTTTTTAATTGAACCTGGTTGTTTCCAGCAGACAGGAGTAGTAGGGAGCAGCAGGGAGTGTGAGGTATACTCAACTCTGGACAAATATTGTACTAACGGCCTTGGAAAATGCGGAAACGCCGAAGTATCGGGCTAGCAGTGAGGCCTCGCACCAAGCCAGTGATAAGCTGCGGAGTCGCGTAAGAAGCGAGGCGGAGTTTTGCACCACCGACTCTGGAGAGCAAGGCGGAGACCATTGAACTCAGAGATATTTGGCTCCAACCTTGGCAGAGAAACACTCGGCGACGCTTACTGAGCCTAGAGACATCTAGCTCCAACCTTGGCAGAGAAACACTTGGCACCGTTTACGGTGCGACGAGGGGACAAGGGAGCCCACAGTATAGTGTGGGGGACGACGAGACCGCAGCTGACAGTGAGAAAGCCGGCGGGGACGTCAGGACTCGGCCTGGCGGTGAGAGAGCCAGGAACGATCCCCCCTACCGGATTACGATCGCACAGCCCGTGGCTAGGGCCGTCTGGGACACGACCAAGTGAAACGGGACATATGGAGCAGGTCTTACCATTGGGCTGGAGTTCATGGGCCCGGAGTCCTCGGATGCAAGTCTGGCATTCGGGCTCGGCTGTTGTTCCTTGCCCTGGAGGCTGTTGTTCCTTGCCCTGGAGGGGTGGGGGTGGGTGACCTGCAGCTGCTGGGTCCCCTTGCTGGGCCCCCCTGGCGGTCGATACGAAGGCTGTAGCCGTGAGAGCCCTCTATTGCCTTAAGGCCAGAGTTACATCGGGGCAAAGAGCCTGGTTTTATCTGCCTGGCACTAAGAATATTGCCGGAGTTGAAAGCGAATGTCTGAGTCCGCTGGAGTGAGAATGGTGACGTGCTGTTATGCATGGTGTTGAATGGAATGTTGAGTGGGCTTAGTTAGTATAGTTTAGGAAAACCCCTGACATGACCAGATAGGTAATGTTTTAGCATAGACAGTACTTAGGTAAATTTGGGAAATTGTAATAGCCGGAGTATCTGGGACCTTATCATCGGTCATCGGCCTGAAGCGTTGCGGAGCCTGCCAGTGACTAATGGAAGGGCTACAAATTCCAGTGCTCTTGGGGAGAGGGAAGTATGGCGGTGGGTCTAGGCAAAATGTAGAGTGAAGGGCCAGGATCCAGCATACCTAAGGGACCGCCTTGCCCCACATAGATCCCAAAGAGCACTTCGGTCGAGGTCGCTACACCGTCTTGCGATCCCGGGCCCGAAAGAGGCCAGGCTGGTGGCCACCAGGGCCAGGTCCTTTTCGGTGGTGGCTCCTATCTGGTGGAACGAGCTCCCAGAGGAGATCAGGGCCCTGCGGGACCTGCTGCAGTTCCGCAGGGCCTGCAAGACGGAGCTCTTCCGCCAGGCTTTCGAATAGGAGCCGCCGCCGCTATCACTACCACCAATGGGGCCTGTTACAGCACCGCCGGAAGTCAATGTGGCAAACAACATCAGGAGGCCACAGTA